GCCCTTTGCAGCGGGCCGGGCGCGGTTCCCGCAGGTTTCAGCCGCACGGCGCTCGCCAGCGAGCAATCATGTCGTCCTTCGCCAAAGGTAAGCGGGTGCCCCGCGCTGTGCCCCGCTCCGCTCCCCGCGGCTCCTCCCGGCTCTGCCCCGCGGACGTGGCCGGAGTTTCGGCTTCCCGTATTGCGAAACGGAGATCGTTTCAGGAAGAAAAATCACGTCGGCGCTTCGAAGGCTTTCCCTGCTCTCCTCTTTCCCGGTGTTCCTAACGGGGCGCGCGTGCTTTGCCGCGTTCTGCGCCTCCGGGCTTTCTCGGTGCAAACCCACGCGGGCCTACGGGATGTCGCGCTGCCTGTAGTGGGCATCCGTGGGTCTTCTGCGAGGGGAGCTGGGAGGAAGCCGAGAGCTTGGCAGGCTCCGGGGAGCCGCTGCAGCTCTCCCATGGATGTGCAGCGCCGGGCAGAGCTGTGCTGTGTGAGCGCACCGACAGGTCGACGCGGGGCAGGGATCGCGCTGTAGCAGCGCTGAGATAACTCCCTTCAGACTGTGAACGCGGGACAGAAATAGGATCGGAACCCAGCTTCTGAGGGGAATTGGCTTATCTTGGCCTCCTGCTGAAGGTCCCTGTCTTGCAGCAAGCAGTGATGACCTGCGTGAAGAGATCGGGAAAATTTCTGCTCAGATGGGCTTTCTCTGTTAGCTTTATCCCCAAAGGACAGAGAAGAATAAAAGGAGAATCTCCTGGGGGGCATTCCCCCATAGGGTCTTAGTCTTCTTAGTCTACTGGAGGCATTCCCCTATAGGATCTCCCCTTTATTCGGAAAAAGAAAGCTGGAGACACTCCTCTATCTCTTTTGGGGATAAAGACAACTGAACAAGCCTATCAGAGCAGAAATTTTCCCAGCATCACCAAGAATTAGACGGCGCTGAAAGCTTTCTTTTAAAAAGTATACGGCCCTGAGCTTCTCTGCTGTTATCCTGAGAGACGTTGCTGGTGTCAGGTGGTATTTTTAGCATGAGCAGCTCCACTCAGAATTGCACTGCGTAACCTCGCAGCCCTCGGTGTGTGCAGCTGGCAAGGAGCGCCCTGGGCTACAAGCCTGTGGGCGAGCTCGTGCTGACGTGCTTTGTTAAGGGGAGAGAATCTGTGAGTTTCACTTCATGTATGCTTTGCTCTAATGTATGTTGACAGACGTGGCCTGTCGTAGTAGAAAGAAAAAAGTTTGTAAAGGTTGAGTGGGTGCTCTCAGTTCTCAAGTATCAAGCGAAGGGCTGTTTGTTAGTTTTGTGTGCTACAGCGTCGGTATTTATGAGGCTTTTATCCCTGTCAGGGATAAAAATTGCCTTGAACTTTGGAGCAGAGCTGGTGGAAGTTAAGGCATTTGCTCTGTACCATCAGACCCGAGTTCACGAGCGGAGTGCTTAAAGTTCAGCTGCGTGTTTTAACTTACGGATCAGCCTCCTGGATCTTTGTGAGAACGGGCTGGCTCCACGGAGATGTAAATAATTCTCTGCTGTAGCTCTTCCTGCACGCTTGCTTGGATTGCAAAAGGAATTAAAACTTGTAACCCTCAGCCCAAACAGATCCTCTTATTTCCCTAGGAGGACTTGTTGCTTGACTTGACCTGTACCTCTCTCCTGTGTGCCGTGTTCCAAGGCAGTGAAATCCTCCTCAGAGTGAGACAGAGGGCTTTTGGGGCAGCAAAACTAAGCTTTGTTCGTTCCTCTTTTTTAATATCAAATAGGGATGGCAGAGAGGTGATACACTGCAGTTGAGGAAGTCTGTCCCTTACTTTGTTTCTGATCATTCACAAAGACCCCCTTTACAGTAGCTTAATCTTTCTTCTTTTTCCCTGAATGTCAGTTATAAAGCCATGCATGATGGACTTGAAAATGCCCCGCCGTTTACGTTGGTGTGAGGACAGTGGCAGGTTGGCTGTGAGATAAGGGCACAAAGCAAAGTAGAACCTAAGGGTGTGGGCAGCAGGGTTTGAATGAAATCCTACCAGTGGCTTAACTGAGGGAGTATTTCCTGCTGAAGGCATTAAAACTACGTGTGTGTGAAGAATACTGATCCTGTAAAAGTGAGCTTTGTCTGAAACTTGAGGCTGATGGCTGCAGAATGCTTGGAGGAGGGATTTATTTTCTAAAGTAGTTTGGAAGCATGATAGCTCTTCCAGCACCCCAGCCTCCCATCTGACTTTACAGAGGCACGGTAACTGCTTTCCATTGCAGCTTCAGAAAATGTCACTTGCTGATAGGAAATGACTGCTTTTAGCAATGCAGTTGCACTGGCCTTTCTGTGTCCTCCTTGCAATTACGGTGAAGGGGGAAATAAACCTTAACCTGGGCTGTTAAATTTAACAGCCGCTCACGATGGAGGACTGCAGCTGTCCTCCTGCAGTTGGTAGGCTGGAGTGCATAAACACCAGCTTTTTCCCCACGGTGCCCAGGGGACAGCAGCACAGGAGTTTGGAGCAGTGCTTACAAAACCTTTACAGAGGGCCATCATTCCCCGTTCCAGTCCAAATCCTGGTTTGCACCTGAAGATAAATGCTTAAAAACCTCTGGCTTGCAAACACGGGCAGCTGGCTCCTGACATGCTGGGTGAGACCAAGTAGTTGTGGAAATGTCCCCACAGAGCCAAGGCAGCTGTGGGCTGAGGTGAGGAGCGATCTTGTGGCAGGCTGACCCGCAGGAGCCTGGCTTTGCTGCTCTGCAAGAACCTTGGTCATCCAGTACACTCAGTAAGTCTTGGACCCCACGCAGAAAGCGAGGCCGTTATCACGTGTTTACTTTTGCTGTGCCTCATTTTGGTTTGTTTGTGGTATTACTCAGTCTCTAAATGCTTGTTATCTGGGAGAGACAAGTCTTTTGGCCACTGTGGACTAACTGGGTTCTCCTACGTATGTGGCAGCCTGGGGAAGAGGCTCGTGGCTCTGCCTTAAGCAACGCGGATGCCGGTCCCTGTTGGATACTGCTGAGTTTCTGCTGGATGTGTTGCATCGTAGCAGGAGCTTCATGTGTTCTACAGGCTGATGAGCTGCTGGAAGTGGACGCCCTTGTTCTGGCTGCAGCTGTATATTGTACCATGCAGCTGGGAGGGTTACAGACACCTGGAAATATCTTGTAGCTGTTGTTCTCCCAAAGCTTAAGTGGTGTTTCAATCTGTGTGGGCTCAAAGGCTGGTACAGATCTCCTTATCGTTCTGCAGGAGGAGGTGAGCCTTAAGGAAGAGCTCTCGTGTTTCTCCATATTTCACCTGGGAAGAGACACCTACCAGGCTATGAGCTGCTCAAACTGCCAAACGAAGGGCATGGTTTAAAAAACAGACCTATTGTTAATTGTAATGTTCCTCTTGAGCTCACCTTCCCCCCTCATCGCAGCACAGAGAGCTCTGCAGCGCTTGCCTCTCGTTTTGTTTTGTTTTCTTTTCCTTACCTGCAAAACGATGCGGTCAGGAAAATGGCTTCTGTGGCCTTTGGAATCACTCTCACTGCATCTGAGGCCATAGGGTACTTTAATAAAAAAATAAAAACAAAACAGAACTATAATCAGAACCATATTAAAATGAACTGCTCTTGACTTTCTGAGGCATCCAGCAGACTTTAATGCATGTTCCAAACAAACTTGAAACATGGCTGCCGCTTCTAACAGTGTTTCCTGTCACTGGTTCATTTGCGGAGTTTGCTCCTGTCCCTTTTTGCACTACTATTCACAGTGTTTCTAAATCCCCGCTATATTTGGCAAGGCAGCACCTCTCTGTGTTACAGAGAAGTGATTGCTCAAGGGATTTGGCCGAAATTAAATTAACTGAGGTCTTTAGAGAACGTACCGGGAATGTCTTTTGAGGAGCCACTCACTTCAAATGCTTTCTTCTGGAAAATAAAGCGGAGTTATCTTCCATTTCTTTCTGTGAGGTGCTTTGACAGTGTGGACTTCACCGTGTGGTCCATTTGTGTACTTATTCTTTTTACTTTTATGGAGCTTATCACTTTCAAAAGCAAAGCAAATGCTGAAGTGATAGACGGACTAATTCTCTGGGTTGCTTAGTAACTTGAAGTGCGTGCTGTAGTGTGAAAATACTCATATGATAAAGTAAGAGAATATTTACTGGAGCAAACTGAGAATTGTGTGAAAGTGCACTGTTTAAATAATTAAACCCCAGTTTTATTTGGTTGTGTGAACAGAAGGGTACCCTTGATCGCAATGTTCTGTGTAAAATACATTCTTTATTGAATGGCTTTTTCACTTTTTTTACTTGCTAAAGTATGCAGATGTGGTAGGACATGAATTCTTTAGCTGCACAGCAATAAAAAGAGTACTGTTATGGATTTCTGGATGTTTCTTGAGATGGATCGTTGATCTTTGGGGATTTTCTTAGGGAGAGGAGGGCTGTTGCTTATTGCTCCCAAGTTAAGGTCTGTTCTCCAAATTACTAGGAATGAAAGCTTTGGATTCCTGAAGTGCTAGTACAGTAATAAAACTGAGATTAGGTCATGTGAATTGATTATATATATGTGGGTACTCAAAAAGTAATGCTTCCTAGTTCTTCCCCATGAAACTGCAACAGATGCAAAGAGCAGAATAACACTATTTGGTAGAGTAAGTTCTTGGCTACAAAACACCGTTTTTTGACATACAAATCATCTCATGCTGGTGATGGAGAGTGAGCTGACTGAGGCACTCTTCATTTCCTGGTGTGGCAGTTGTTTGTGGCCATCCAGAACGTGTCTTTCATATTGCTGTTGCCACTGCTGAAACTCACCACCCACCTCTCTGTGCTCACATGCACTCTTCGGTCTCCATAAATGCTCAGCAAGCATCGACAAATGTCAGTGGGTACAATTATTTCCTCAAGGAGGAAATCAGTTCCACACCTTTGTTTCATAGGCACTCCCAGTTTGGATGCCATTCAGTCAGACTGCCCCTCTGCTGCCGTCTGTCACACAGCAACAAGGTGTAATGGCATATTGGGAAGGTTCAGCCTCTGCTGCCATCCCACCGACATCCGCCTCTGATGTTGTGGGACGAAATAACGAAATAGGAGGCATTATTCCAGAGCAGCCCCATATATTTATAAAGGAAACATGAGAGCTGTCCGTAGTATAAGTAAGTTAGTTTTATGTATCCGTTTACTCACTCCCTTGAACTCATGTATTTCATTTTCATTGAAGATTTCAGCAAAGCAATGTCCCAGGCCGGCCCGTCGCAGTTCCAGGAAGTCATTCGGCAAGAGCTGGCGTATTCAATGAAAGTAGAACTTGATAAAATACTCGCGACTGCGCCCTCAAATGAGCTAGAGGTAAGAAGTCTGTTAGGGGCAGGAGACAGAAGCAAATTTTATACAGGGGGACAAATCACAGCACGATGCAGTCCTTACTTATAGGATGTTCTCTAATCCCGTGAAGAGTTGCATGGCTGCAGTGTCTGTAGGAGACTTCAGTTCCATGCAAAACACATGGCAGAGTTATTACCTAGTGTTTAATCATCTTTAGTTATTAAAGGTTCTCTGTAATCCATTACAGATTATATACAGGAAGGGTAAAACTGTTATCCTAAAGATTGGGCCAGATTCTTCTGGTTATAATTTTGACTGAAGACCTTTTAGCTGTCCAAAATGTGTTGGGCATTTTTTTTGTTTTTGTTGTTTTCTTATCTTGAGCTTTAGTGAAGATGGTCTTCTGGCACCTTTTTACTTAAAATTTAGTGTGTCTGTACTTCGTATGTGGATAAAATTATTCTTGTGAGTGGACTTTATGTCAAGTTTGTAACAATGCTTCCATGATCTAAAAGGTAAGCAATAAATATCTGTTAACTAGTGTATTTCTTTCTTGTAGCACACTAAAAAGGACCTGGAAGGATTTAAGAAGCTATTTCATAGATTCCTACAGGAGAAGGGACCATCTGTGGACTGGGGGAAGATTCAGAGACCACCAGAAGATTCTGTAAGTTGCAATTAAGTGACAGTCTGTAAGAACGTAACGATGATAATTGCAGCTTGCAACAAATGCTGTAGTTGCCTGGAGAAGATAGAACTTCCCTGGTCCTGTAAGATCACGTAGGATGACACTTGGGGTCCTAGCTGAGACATAATAATTTACAGACATATGCTGTGTGTGTTCATGAACATCAGGTCCTGTTCAACATATGCATCAAGATCCAGTGTTATTTTCTTAACTGTTCCTGAACAGGGGAACTGAGTGGGACAGATGCCATCTTACCATTTGGTACCTTCTCTTGAGTGAACGGTAACTCTTGTTAAAGAGCTAGTAGGAAGGACCTTTGTTGTCACCCTTTTTTCCTGCCTGTGAGAGAAGGTGGCATGCCTCAGATGAGACTGTTTCCAGCAATCCGTTCTGCTAAATAATTTGAAAGGGACATATGGCAAGTGGGCTGGGTTATATAGCTCGTTTAGCAACTTCTGTAATCTAGAGCAGCTCAGTAGAAGTGATGAATCTGAAACTAGCTGTTGACTGTAAGGTTTTTTGAGTGTCATTTTATAATGCCATCTATGTTGTTATAATGGATAACCTTCCACTTGAGATGCTGCTGAGAAAGCATTAATAATGTTTTTTGGCAGTGTTTAGTACTGAAATAAACACTTCCCATTAAGCCTAACCTCATTTTATTGATTCATCTGTGGCCCAAGGCTGTTCTTTTGGCTCTTGCGTAACGAATGGTGTAGTTGTGTTACAAATTCTTGCTGTTCCCAATGCAGCAATCTTGGCATGGTGTGAGACTCCTGTGTCCCTACACACATTTGTGGTTTCCTTTTGCCTCTGTGGTGATTCAGTCAGGGCTCTGTTTGCAACTGAAAGACAGGCTGTCCAGTTACTTCCAGAACAGATGCAGCACTGCTTTCTAAAGCATTGATGAATGATGCTGTTTTAGAGCAAGGATAGGGTTTTTTCCAAGGCTGAGTGTTTTCTTTTGACTTCGGAAACACGTGATGTCTGTCTCTTCCGCACTGTAAAACTGAATGAAATGTTGTTTTGGGGAAAAAACTCCACCTTGAATAAAGAGGCCAAGGTAAGAAGCTGGAGTTCTAGGTGACATCTTACAAGGAAGGCTGCAGAAAAGGGCTTGCTTTTAGTCTAGAGCAGGCTGAGGCTTCAAGGAAGCAATCGCTCTTTTAAATATGTGAAAAGGTAGCTGCAATAACAAAGGGAATAAACTGTTCTCTGTGTCAAAATAAGGCCTGGGATTAAATGACAGCAGTTTGATGCTAATGAATGGACTGCTTTGTAGAGAGGGAGAGCTGTTGTCCATTTCTAAAGTTTTGTACACTTTCATTGAAAAAAATTCAAGTTCTATAAAGGACTGAAAATTACTGGGTTATTGGATATTGGGAGCAAATGTCAAGCAAGAGGGATGAAAAAGCATTAAAACAAGTTGTTGGGGATTCCCACGCAAGGCAAGCTGTTTAAAAAGGTCTAGCCTAAGGTCACAGAGGCCTGAAAGGATGACAGGATTAGAGGTGGTATCTCTCTTCTTCCTTATGGCCTGTTCTGGCTCATGCTCATTTCTGTCACTCAGCTAGGAAGCAACTTTTGTCCAGTAATGTGAAAGTATATAGTGAAGACTCTTGCACCATCCTATTGCTTTGGTTCAGGTGAGATGCATGCCTGTTCTTGGCTGAAATTCTACTTCCTAGCATGAACTCCAAATTGCATAGCAAAAATGTCACAGAGGAAAGCTAGAGAAAAATACCCTCAAACAAGCTTCCTTCCCATGCTGCATGTGAATACATACAGACATACATACATGTACATGTAAGCACCCAAAAATGCAACCAAGATTTTAACAGCTTAGAGTTCATGAATAGGTTCTGGCGTACTTAGGCTTTGTCTTCTAATTTTCTATTCTACATGAAGTATTTCTGAGATTCAGGTTGAGTAGGAGAACTGCTCCAGGATTCTGTCCAGTGCTGTGACTGTGCTATGCAGGAGAAGTTCTGGTCAGACTTCAAGGGTCTTTCATTATCTTCATGGATAACGTTTTATCCACAGTTCTTGTTCTTTGAATGTCATTTTCTGTTCCTTTGTGAAATACCAATGGACAAGTAAAGATTCCTGACAGCAGATTGCAGTGTAAGAATAACTGTGTTTTAATATCCCCCTTTTTTCTCCCTCCTGTTTTCAGTATGACAGCTAACAACAATGGGCAAGCAAGTTGTAGGCTTTGGATGATGAACCCATTCAGATGAACCCATTTGTGTGGGTTTAACATGTCATGTTGATAAACTTCTTACTTGTTTTTTTCATTCCAGATGCTTTCCCTCTGTATGTCTAAAGGCTTACAGTGGTAGCCGACCCATTTCTGTAGTCTTCAGAGAAGAAAGCGTGCACTTAAAGTCCTGGTTAAGTAGGAGACAAAGTAAAGAACGTGAACACAGCAAGTGTAATTTAATCTTATTGATGTAGATTGCAGTGATCAGCTTGTTTGACTTGGAAGCAGTAGCAAAGCCCTGCTGGGGGCCTCTGGGGAAACTGCAGTGATTGAGTTAACCTCAGAATAGCAATGCAGACCCTCATCCTTGATGTGAAGTGAACATCTGAAGCAGTTTGAGTGTGAGCAAGTTGTGCCAGGGGAAGGTTCAGGCTGGATGTTAGGAAACATTTGCTCCACTGAAAGAGTGGTGAGGCACAGAGTGCCTAGGGGGGTGCTGGGGTCCCTGAGGGTGTTCCAGAAACATTTAGATGTTGTACTGAGGGAGGTGGTTTAGTGGGGAAATATTGGTGGTAGGTGGGTGGTTGGACTGGATGATCTTAGAGGTCTTTTTTTCCAACCTTGGTGAGCTGTGATCGTGAAGGAAAAGGAAAAAATGACATGCTTTTAATCAAAACTAAAATGTCTTCCTAATCTTGAACTCTAAAAGCAGGTCTGAAGGGTTCATTTTTGCTCTTTCTAAAACTGTCCTTTGGTGCTGAGTAAATGTTACCTTGTTTTTCTGTGACTACAATATTGACTAAGATGGGTGTATTCTTTTCCTGTCTACCCACGGTGGTGGCCCGATGCTCATTTTGTCTCTGTCAAACTCTCCCAAATGTCCCTGCTGTAGGAGTGTACTTCTGAAACGTTAGTCACACTCCCAGTGTTGCCTCATGCGAACTGTTCCAAAAATCACTTCTGTGACACTGTCTGCAGAACTGAATGGAGCTAGATATCATCTCAGAGGAATCCCAAACCGCAGTTTCAAGGCTCGTTGGAAATGACTAACACTGTAATCATGCATCTGTAAGTCCTGTCATTCCTGCTCAGTTTTACTCCTGAAGTATTTTCTCATCGGCCCTCTCTTGTCGAGTCCACTGTTCAAAGCTTTGAGTGCAGGAACTGATTTTTGTTATTCTGGAGCACTTTCTACTCCTGTATATGCTTTAGGTAATGAGGCAGCTCTTTTGCATTTTAGAGCCTCTGCACGCCTGCAGCTGCTCAGTAATAGCACCAATACCTAGCAGTCCACGTGCTGGAAGGATCCTGCTTGAATTTGAATTCCTAACATTTCTTGTTCTCTGAATTAAAGACCCTTCAAGGTCCAGGGCTTCATTTCCAAGTTGTCGTTTCCAACATTTGTGCCAAAAGAAACCGAAATATTTAGGCTGAGTTACAGATCTTGTGTTGGAGCTACAGCAAATGAACTCAATCCTTGACAAAGAGGGTTGGGGTAGAATCGTTGATTTCACTGGCATCAGATTTTTGCTCTGGGCTTTCTGCAAAAGCTCATTTGTAGTGCTATAGTGAAGACCAAAAAGGGGTGGTTGGCACTCCAGCGAATGATTTTGAGGCAAACTGAGCAGCAGTCTCTATTTTTGGAGAGCTGTGCTGTGCATGATGCAAGAAGAACATAGTGAGACTTTAAAGGCAAAACCATTTTTTTTTCCTCTGTTTTTCAGCCAACACCTGAACACTGGGTGTGACTCGTGTCCTACCCAGCTACATGTTTGAAATTCACTGGCAGCCTGGTAGGGGTGGTGTTGATTTTGGAGTGGGTAGGAGGTGTAACAACAGTGTGTGCTCAGTTCTGGATATCTGCTGTCAGTTCCTGCGTTCATGACCCCTTGTCTGCATCAGCTGCCCCTGCCTTTCTGACAAATCCATGATTAAAACCTTTGGGATCTTTTACCTTCTGTAGTTTGTTCAGACACATCCTACACTGCTGAAACGCTGTCTCCATATCCTGCCTCTCTCATTTGTTCTACACGCTCCCTTTTGAAAATACAGCAGAATAAATGGACTGTGGATAGAATAAACTGACTCTGAACAGATGGCATTTCTGAACGGATGTGCGTTTGAAGTAAGAGAGGAATATTGTACTGGATGATAGGCAAACAGAACTGAAGCTTTTCAACATTCTGCAAAACTGCTGCTATGAAAGATCCTTGCATAGTATGCAGAAGATTGCTAAGGGATTCTCTTGTACGTAGTTTTGTTGTAGCTGAAAGAAAAGAGAAAAGGAAAGAAAGGGGTGTGGGAGATGCAAAGGATTTTGTGTGGAAATCATTTTGCCTCAAGTTTGTTGTGCATTCCTCTGTGTTATTCTTACCTAGCATGGCTGATGAAAATGGTGATGTTTCCTTTTGGATCTAGAATACTGCACATTATTTGTATCCCTTCTTTCCCTGTCCTCTCCCAGCCTCCAGCTAGCAATGAATTTCTTGTGAAAAGGTTCAGTTCTTTTGAAGGTTCCTTTGAATTATTGTCCTTTTGATCTGCAATGAGGAGATGACCAGACCCGACATGCAAATTCATTGCCATGCTCATCTCCAAGCTGTGGTTTTGCTCCAGGCATTACCAGCCTTTGTGGCCTTCCAATTCTCTCCCTCCCACCTGCTGAATGGCCTCAGAGTACATTCATGGCACTCAGTGTGTGTGGGTGCATAATGTCAGCAAGCGAGCATCCTGCTCTGAACCAGCTGAGGCATCTGTAGGAGCAGCTGAAGTCTTCTCATTTGCAGCACTGTCCTGTCAGGCAGCACTGAACTCATCTTGCAGAAAATGCAGTGGATGCTGTTTTAAAAGGTCACTTTCTGACAGACACAACCAGGGCTGCTGCTGTAGCTTTGGTTCGGATTATTGTAGTTGTGCTCATGTGCTCTGTTGCAAGAAGAGAGACACCTGGAGATACTAAGATGTTACTGAAGCAAGATCAGCCTATTGTGTGCCTTTAGGCTGCAGAACTGCTTGCTGATAACCAATTGCTGGAGCTGTTCTTGCTGCGGTCTTCGTGCAGTTTTGCTTGGCTCAGTTACCCCAGGAGCATGCAGGGCATGCCGTGCAAGATCTCTAGGTTTGCTGATGGCAGGGTCCACAAACCTGTAGCATCTAGTGATTGTCAGGTCAGCTGTAGCTGATTGGCAATCCCTTAAGGTACGATTACGTGAGTGAGAACATCATTACTTCTGTCAGGAATGTTGCCATCCAAGCTTCCTGTTCACTCGACTTGATAATCCAGCCTTTCTGCTCCAATAGGAAAGGTATGGCATATATAATGTTTTCTCACTTCCTCATACCCTAAGTAGCTGACTTTTCTACTCCTCATTTAGTCACCTCTTAATATTTTCAAGACACTCTTTGTTTCAGAGCACATAACACATGGATACGATAAGCCCTGTATGTTCTGTTTGTCTTCTTTTTTTAAAATGCCGGTCTCCTGATTCTCTGCATCTCACTTTCTGGAAGAAATGAGCCTCTCAGCTGAGTTATAAATAAAACAACTCTGTAGACTTGAAAGCTTTCTCTGTCTTAATTTAACTGAATAACTCTATTGCTGGTCATAAGTTTCCTGCTGAAGGGTTGTAGTGTTCCTCTGTAAAATAAAGTGACTGTGCAGGCAGTCTGAAATGGTCCTGTTTCAGTCTGGAAGATGTGGGTATTTAGGAAGCAGCTTTGACGTGGTGTTTGTCCAGGTTGCCACAGCTGCCCTGACTTGTAACCTTCTCATCCTGGTGTTCTTTGGGCAGTCGTGGTTTATGCAGGTGGCAGAACTACGACAGAGGCCAGGATAGATGCAAGTGATGAGAATCAGTGCTTAGTAACCCTTGGACTGCAGGGATACAGCTCAGGGCTATGGAGGACAAATGCCCCTTGCAGAGGAGGAAGAAGAATATTTGAGCATGCCTGGAGAGATGCAGACTCCTGCTACAGATGGGTAGGTCCAGTTTCTCATTTTGCAGCTCACCTCCTGTAGTAAGCTGCTGTGGTCAGTCTGCCTTCTGTTGTCCTCCTTCATTCTGGATGTGTTGGAAGAGAAGCAGTGCAAGCTGCGTCAAAGCAGTGCAGCCTGCTTCATCCCTTCTTTCAGCAAGCAGGAGTCATTGGAGTTCACATCTCGTGCATCTTAGAGGCAGAGAACATGCTACTCCAAAAACAGGCAATTTCATAGTTCAGGGCATTTTGCCTGTGTAATATTGCAATGTCACACAAGTGCAGATGTTGTTCATTTACCAGAAGTACAAAGTTCAGGTAGACTGTTCTTCCAGATAGTCTGTGGTTGTTTTTTTTTTTTTTTAGGCTTTGAGCAAGTCTCTGAATAAAAAAGAAAAACAAAAAGAGCATAATTCTTTTCAGCACACTTACCTGCTGGATTTGTTTATCAAACATACTTTAAGCAAGGAAGGGGCAAGATAGTGGATCTGTCTATGCTGAGGGAGCACTGAGGCCATGTTTGCCTCTGGAGTTTACAGTTTCCTTTCCAAGGAAAGATTGCTTCCTACACAGCCAGATCAACAGACCTCACAGACTTGACAGGCACAAACCCCAATTTAAAAAGAAGTCTCCCTGCTCCCCAGGGCATGGTATTGTGGTGTGGGGGTGTGGGAAAAGGCTTGGGGCCGTGATCCCCACCTCCTCACCACAGCCCTCCTGGAGAAGCCAAGTGCTGGGGCTGCCTGTCATGGGGCTTTTAGGCCAGGGCACACAGTTGCAGCTGAATTGCTCTGGAGCCACATTTGGCTGCTCCCAATTTTGCTTATCCTGGGTTATCCATCTTTTAAGCCTTTGCTGAAGTAGGACTGTGGAGATGCTTCCAAAATCCTGCTGTGAAATTTAAAATGCGAAGAGGAATGTTTTGATAAGACTTAGTGGTCTTACATTGGTGTACTGGCATTTTATTTCTTGTTATTTCAGGTCTTTTGCCCCCATGCCCTAGGACTCCATTCATTTCGAGCTGTCACCTTATCTTCCACCTTCTTCCCTCTTATCAGTCTCAGCTGTCTTTTTCCTTACTTATTTCAACCTTCTGCCTTCTCTGGATGATGCAACTGAGCATAATTTATAACCTGGAGGCAGAAGGTTGTGCCAGGGTTCAGGTTGCAAATAGGCTGCAGCTAGCTAGAGGTCAGAACCAGCAAATAGATGTAGGGGAGGGCATGGGCAGCACAGTTCGCTGAGGAGAGGAAAGCAAAGCAAGCAGGGATGAGTGTTTCTCTTCTACTGACAGTCTGTCTTACCTTGCCTGTGACTTGTGGAGCAATACACAGTACAATCCTGTTAGCAGCAGGCACTGTGACTGGCTGGGATGATGTGTTTGTGATTAGAACAGTTGCTTAATTTCTTCATGTTGCCAGATAATTTTTTTTTCTTTTTTGCCTAAAATGAATTCAGTCACACCCTCACATGAGGAAGCTGGAAAGTCTTACTCTGTTGCTTCCTTAGAGGAGCAGTCAGACTAACACACCTATCAGTAGATGATACACAATAGAATCTTGCATAAATTATTGGTAACTGTATAATTAATGAATGTACAGATGTTATAGTTATGAGATACACCAGAGAGCTTGGCTACACAGTTATTACACCACAACAGAATAGATAGGATGCTTACCTGATCCTGGGCTCACTATGAGACTCCAGAGGAGAGATCTCCAGCAGAGATCCTTCTCCACTGGCAGCCAGCTCTTAAATGGGTCTAGCAGAGGTGCAGCCAGGCTCCCCCCCTTCCGGCACACAGCTGAATTGCCTTCACCTGTGCTCCCATGGCTGACTCAATGCTCACCTCAGGTGCTCAATCAGAGGTTCAGGCTGTGATTCAGCAGTTCCCATACAGCAACAAATCCTGAAGTTCTCACTTGAAGCCATGCATTCAAAACTGTCAGGCTTTTTAAGCAAGGGATCTTGGAGAGCTGTTTTAGACAAGATAGTTAATAAGGAAGGAGCCTGTTGTTTGTTCTTCGTTTGAGGTAGCAGCAATCAGAGCAGTCGTTTTGATTTAGTGCACTTTCTGGTGGGTCGCTTTAGACGTGCATTGTTGTTTAGGTGTTGTGTGATTTCAGTCTCATGATATGGAGTCAAAACTGAGAAACTGACTGTCAAACTGCTGGGACCCCCTGAAAGCACTGCTTGAAAACCACCCCTTGTAGACAAGTGAATCAAATTGTGGCAACAAAGGTAGATTTGTAGGGATCAAACTTGTGGCTGTCCTACGGTCAGCGCTGAACTTAATGATTTGGCTGACAAATTTCCCCTCATCTTTTATTGATGCACATAAATCTTACTGACAGATCTATCTGAAATTGCATTTTTTCTACTGCTACCATCTGCAGATTGAATGGAAACTGACATGCCATCATCACCTGCTTTGTTTCATCAGTTAATTCCTTTCTCCAGGGAACTTGGATGCTAGCACATGACTGCAGCAGTAGTAGTGTCGCTGCTTGCTGCCTGAGCCACCATAACACTTTGTTTCCCTTCGGCTAGTTTGCTGAAAGGGTGAAATAAAAACTGTGTAACCACCACATCTGCTACTGTGACATACTGGAAAGTGGAGGCTTCAGTGCATGATTTCCCTTTTCATAGTTAACTCTTACAAGCAAAATCACCTCACCTTGAGTGCAGTGGTAATTTGAAAACACAGGATAGTTTGTGCCTTACTCATTAGGTTCCTCACCTTACTCGTAAGGTGCTGTCTCAAGGATTTTTAGCACAGGGAACCTCTGTTGCTTTGAAAAACAGGGAAGTACAGTGAGTCCAAACTTACCGGTAGGTAGCAATGCAGGAGCTTGGTAAAGAGCATGTGGATTGAAACATTTCTATCATTAATGAGGCTTTCAAGTCCAGTTAATTGCTTGGGGTTTTTTGGAGTATGTATCTTAAGCACTGGGAACCATTTCTAGGTGGAACGAATCGAAGCAGCTGCATCACGATCTTCCTGGGCCAGTTTCCACTGAGTAATGGCAGTTTCCTCAGTTATTATGCTGCAGCTTGTGGAGTGATCTTCAAAAATGCACCATACGCTGTGCAGATACTGCGTAAGGTTCCTTAATGTGAGGGATGTGCTCTAATCTGCCACCTGTGCCCTGCTGGAGCTGCACTTCTCCTCCCTATTCCTCACATCTGAGTAAGAAATGTGATTCTTGCTCCAGCACAACGTGAATTTCCATTGGAACCCCAGCCTGATGTGCCCCAAGCTAACAGACTTCTGAAAACTGCTAAGCACGTGTTTGTCTTTGGTAATCAGCTGTGGATTTTACACATCCCTTATCAGCACAGAAATAATTTGTTGTTGCTAGAATACATACAGCACTGAGGCACAGGGACTTTTCTCCTAAAGAAAATCTCTAGAAGGGCAGGTTAAAAAATAATTGTATTGACTTTGCTCTAACAGTGTTGGCGTGGTTCTTATCACTGCATTATTAGCTGTGTTTCCTTGACTTAGGTGGTTTGGATTACAGAGAAGCAGTGCTTAATGAAAGGCATGCTGGCTTTCATTACAAGCCTGATTTTGTTCTCCATCTGTCACCCCGAAAGCAGCCTATACTCTTTTTATACTGCTTTTAAACTTGCAGGATGTAGCTATCAGCAAGGTAGAAGGCTTTCTGTGAGTTTTGATGTGAGCTGGTAAACACATCCTGAAAATATCAGGATGAGAACTAGGAACTTCCTGTCTTCCATTTGGAGAGATGAATGGTTATATCAGGGTAGTAAGTGGAGTAACAGGTGGCTTAGACTGAGTCAAAGAACCAGCCTTTTTCCAAGAATGTTGCCTCTGAAAACCTTACTGCAATGTATCAAAAAAACTGGTGTGACTTTATGCTGCTTGAGGATGGAAAGTTGGGACGGGCGTGCAAAGCCTGTGTTCTTAAATTGATCCTGCCTGAAGGGGGATATCTTAATGAGGAAGGGTTAGATGGGTCACAAAGAGACCCTCTCTCCTGTAGGACAAGAAGGGGGTTGTGGTAACCAGTGTAACTGGCATGACTTCCTCTGTGCCCCCTTCTCACCGCTGTGTCAGTTCCCCCTGTGTGAAAGAAGAGACTGAGACATCTCATCTGGATGAAGCTGATGGTGGCTGGTCTCACAAAGCTGCAGAGCTGCTCGAGAGAATAGGTCATCTTATTGAAACAAAGCAGGTTGTTGTAGACTCATTTTGCAAGTGTTCTACCATCATATAAGAGAACGAGGGTATTCTTAGCAAATTTTAAGATTTGAAGTTTCTAGGAAAGAGCAATTTCACTACAAATATCTGACTTGAAATAAACAAATTACTTTCTACAGATCCAGCCCTATGAGAAGATAAAGGCCAGAGGACTGCCCGATAACATTGCTTCTGTCCTGAACAAGCTGGTAGTGGTGAAACTCAATGGCGGCTTGGGCACAAGCATGGGCTGTAAAGGCCCCAAAAGCCTTATTGGGGTGCGGAATGAGAACACCTTCTTGGATCTGACGGTTCAGCAGATTGAGGTAATTTGTAATATGCTTTGAGTGCTGGTGTGGATGCTTGAGGGGATCTGTGTGCTCGAGACCTACTCTGAAACCCACTTAGAGCTGAAATTCCTGCCAATACAGAAACCCTTCCTGTGACAAATGTGGTTTCAATTGAATACAAGACCCAGTAAGTGGTCATGCTTTCCCTTTTTGAGGTAAGAGGGAGTTGGAATCCAGTTCTTGTTTTGCATGCTGGGTTTTGGAGCTGTACTTTGGAATAAAGCATTCCCTTTCTACATGAGGTGAAGCAAGATGCGCTGAAGCATCTGAGCCATAGGAGAGATCACAGTAGAGACTTACCAAAAGAGAGAAGGAAAGGGAGCTTGGTCACCACACTAGTGGTAAAGCAGAGAACTGCTTTGGAAGGAACAGGCAGTAGTGATGTGCAGCACATGTGGACAAAAAGGACGGAGCAATTGGGGATTTACATCTGTCCTCTCTGCACGTTACTGGAAGTGTAACACAGCTGTGTGCACCAACCCTGAACAGTGGTGTTTGTGTCCTGTAACACAAGGCATCAGGTTGTGGAGCTGACTTCTGACCCTTCCAGATGCAGGTCTGGGGGTGGCTTTTCTCATGTCCCTTGGAACAAAGCTCTCCAGAGCAGCTCAGAGTTCCTTGTCAGATGGAAACACTCGTGATGGAAGTGCTGGCTGGGATTTTCCTCTGAGGAAACAAGATAAAAGAACAGCTGCTAGTGTTGAGAGAGGGCACTTCACTTATGATTTTAATGCTGACTATTCCTCTCACAGTGGATACTTAGGTTGGTCATTGGAGTAGGAGATGTGTTGTGCCTGCTCCTTGCTTTCTAGATCTCCAGCCATTGGTGCCTCTGCATGGTTTTTGTTTGGAATGGCTATGTATGTGAGCTACTCCAATAGAAAACTTTTATCCAACTAATTTTTATCCAACTAATGCAGCTTTACTCTTCCCTTCTCGCGGGTGCTTTCTCAAAAGGATCATTGTGGTACAACCTCTACCAGAGGTGGATGATCCCAAACATTTCCCAGCAGATGAAGGTGATCTAATGTACCAAGTTTTCAACCCACTGTAGATTTTGTGGGTTTTTTGCACTCTCCTTTGGTGAAACACTATCTTGTTTTCCAATGTGTTTCCTTTTGCTGTGCTGTCCACATGGGTGTATTTCAGTTCTGTTTTCCAGATGTCCAAATAATTAAACACTGTAACATTTTATCCATTATGTACTCCTGATACTCTTTCATCTCATGGCTTACCAAAAAGGCTCAAAACTGCTTATAGTGCAGAATAGTTTTTGCAACCTCACAGACTTTAATAATTTGGGGGAAAGCGAGCCTTTTGTAACCAACAATTGGCTGAAATTTGAAATGATCATTTTGCAATGCTTTTGAAATCTTGAATTTTCATGCAGATTTAGAAACAAAGATCAATTGTACGTTAATTAACATGGTCGTTACCTTAGATACTTCACAAGGTTTTGTTTTCCTTCACTTGATTTATTAATACATTCAATTAGCGTAAGAGTATTCCTTTTATCTAACAGTTAGATGAGGCAGACTGGGATTAATAAGCCTGTTTCCTTTTTCCACAAATCCTCAGGAGTTAAACATTCATGCTGAATTTACCATTTCTTTCTCATCTCAGCACTTAAACAAAACCTACAACACCGACGTTCCTCTTGTTCTTATGAACTCCTTCAACACGGATGAAGACACAAAGAAAATCTTGCAGAAATACAGTCACACCCGAGTGAAAATATATACCTTTAATCAAAGCAGGTATAAACAACTTTTCTACTTGAGTGAAAGGGAACATACCTTGCATTTCCTTATATTCCAAATGGCTTTTAGTTTAGTAACAGGGACTTCTACACCCATATTCAATCTCATTTTCTTGAAAGACTGAAATGTCAGTGTTAAGTAGAGCCAAAGGCAATGTATTGGAATTAGAGAGGGATTCAGGACGGGGCACAGTCTGAAGAACTGTGTGTAACGGAGTACTGGATGTTGGCCACTTGATTCCCGAATTTGCTTTTAGGATACCAGAGCTCTGGTATCCTCTCAGGGAGATGGAACAAACTCTAAAGTGTTTGATGTGGCTGATGATGTTGGAGGTGGATTTGGCGTGCTGTAAAGCTGCATATCAGAGAAAAACTGCTTGGTCTGAGGACTGCGGTTTTAA